AAGGGGAATGATGATAATGGTTTTATTTCCAGCTTCTATCAGCAGATTCTTCTTTTTTCTCTCTCAACATATCATCTTGTATCCTGAGCTACTTCCTGAAGTATTTGATTAAGAACAATTCAATTAGATTGCCTGTGGTTGGATAAATTATCCAATTTGAGAGTCACAGCCCAGTGACGTCCACGGGGAGAAGCTCACTATATGCTTGCCTGTGCACTTCTGTAAATGTCTGTATGTGTGTGTCCAGCCATTTGTGTCCCAGGATTTTCTTCTCCCTGAATTCCAGCACCTGCTGTTGTCTGGGGCTCGGCTCCGTCCTGGTCTCATGGTAAAACTGCGTCTGTGACCTCCTGATTAACCACTAATAGCACTACCGAGCTTGCCCAAACTGAATTGGGGTCAGTTGCTGCAATTCCCCTCACTAACGGTGGAGGATAGAGAGAGGGGAAAAGCAAACTGACCTCTTGTCAGTATTCACAGGCAACTTAATCATGGAGCTTTCATAACACGTCAGACGAAGCAGGGGAGCAGTTTGTTCTGTAACACGCGTAACCCATGTTATGTCCCGTAGGTGTTGCCATAATAGATTGCTGTGTTTGCTGCTGTATGAGCTATAAGTGCACTGTTTTGTCGTATGGGTGTGAAGCTTGAGTAGAGACAATCCCTCAAAAGTATTATGACCACCGATGCACTTGTGTTGTCGAGATTGTTATCTAATTCCTTATATATCTCTTTCTCCTCTTCTTCCCTCCCCGACTGTGTTTTTAGGAGAATCAGAAGCTGAGGGAGCAGAACGACGAGCTCAACGGTCAGATCCTCAGCCTCAGCCTGTATGAAGCTAAGACCCTGTTCGCCACACAGACCAAGGCCCAGTCTCTAGCTGCTGAGATAGAAAACGCCTCCAGAGACCAGGTAACATCACAACAAGATACAGACCAGCTATGCATATTTTATTATGAACATTACTCTTGTGCAAACTACCAAGTTTATTCATTTAATTCATCTGAAATATGTTACAGGTGCCGTCCATACATTAGTTGGAGTGTATTTGTAGGTCATATCACAGCATGACAGGGATATAGATATTACATTATGGTAGATTAGCATTTATGTGCATAATATGGAGGTCCTTTCTCACATAGACTGTAAGACACTGAGCCAAATGAAATCTGTAATTAAAGCAGCTTTAGAGCTACAACAAATTGTGGATTGATCAATGAATAGTTAACTAGACAGTGGATTAGCAACTATATTGATAATGGATTCACCTTTGAAGGAATTATTTAAGCAAAATGCAGCATTTATAACAAATAGCAGCATTAATAACAACTTGTGTAGCAATAGAAACATAATTGTATATGTACCATATAAGTGAGTTAAGCATATTCTAGCTCTCACAATAGTTCCAAAAAAACAAACAAAAGCTCTTGAGTCATCAGGCCTATAAATAGGTCCGATTAGGGTTGACCTTTTTGGCAAACTGAAATGAAAAGGTGTATGACGTACGTCTCTTTCCTCAGTTAATGGAAGCCCTGAAAGAGCAGGAAGAAATCAACATTCGACTGCGACAGTACATGGACAAAATCATTCTGTCCATCCTGGACCACAACCCCTCCATCCTGGAGATCAAGGGCGACTAGCAGTGACTCAACTGGAGTGAGAATCGGTCTTGGGCGAATGAAGATCAGTCCAGTTGTTTGATCAGAAACTTTAACCTGAGGCAGGAATCTGTACAGGACAACAGAGACAACCAGAGCCATGTAGAAACTGGAACATAAATAGACACACATCGCCCCCTGCTGTTTATGGCAGGGAAGGACATTCTACAGTGGGATTAAGCGCTGAACTGACCACAGGTCATACTACTGTGACTCTTCAAATCGATCTGTCCTGCTCTTTTTTATTCACTGTCTATGCTGTGAACTGTAGATACTGTCACAACTTTTATCTCATACGACAAAACAGGAATATCCTGCGCTCAACATGCTTTGAGGATTAACAGAGTCGCTGAAAGAAGTACACTCGACATACTGTGTTACCTTGACATAAAAACTGGAACAATGTAAAAAACCTGATATGGGTTGTATTGTATCCTGGTGTAATATGGGCTGTATTATCCGCAGATAGAAAGTTTGGTATGATGTTTTTTGAAACATTGAAGCAGACTAAACCTGACTCTCAGAGGCATGAAGGCCGACCAGAGTGTTGCCTGATCTGTAAACTGCCCATCTTTTCTCCTCTGACATGTAGGTGTTTGTCGACGATGAATCATGGATAGGCATGTTTTTAAAGAGAGGATTTAGAAAAGTGTAAAGAGAAAGAAAAGAATAAGAGCGCCTTTAGCTACAAGGGTAAACAGAAGTTGTGCGCGACAGATGATGGACCACGTAATATGCAAGCAAAGGAGGGTTTTAGTAAAGTTGGTGATGGCAGGTGAATTTGTTTATTTTTGAGAACATGTCTTCCAGTAACCTTGCAACAGCACTTGCAGAGTCAATCAGTCCAATAGTGGCCCTTAGTTTGTTCAGATGAGTAGTCGAGTGTCACTTTAAGGAGCAGAAGCTGCAACCAAGGAGTGTCTTTAAACTGGAACTTCTGAGGCTGCTATTTGCTAGCAACACATTGGCGAATAGGTTCATTGTTGCTAGCAATAGACCCCAATGATGTTGAACAGAATTGTGAGCTATGAATGTACAGGGTGGATTTATGTTGAAGTGACTGGAAGCCATTGTAACATGGTTTACTGAATCCTCTCTTTGCTCTGTGAAATCAACCTAGATATTGTACGTGAGCATGCACAGGAGACTCACTTTTTGGTACAAAAACTGGATTAGCAATCTCATTAAAGCCTACATGTTGCAAATAGTTTTTTGAGCCGTCTGAAACTCTCTAATACTGTAAATATGAATGTACAACTGGATATTTCACTTTCTGTGAGGCTAAAAAGGCTTTCTTGACTTGAAATCGCTTGTAAATTGGTCCAAGATGTGTTGAAACACACATGTACAGTATTAGGTACTGTAATGAAGAGGGCATTGTTTGGGGGAGGGGAGACAATTTGAATCTGCTGTATCATGTAATTATTCCAAAACCTAAGTTTTGCTTCCTTGCACAAGAAAAAACTTGTTTGTTTCCTTATGCATGGTTCACCTTTTCTTCTGTCTGTGCCTTTGAGGACATTTTTCAAGACGATGTGCTATAGATTTACATAGTTTTCTGAAGGTGCATTCTATGTCTACGTCTGACATATTTTTTTGACTTGTAAATGTTGTAATTATATAGTGATTTGTATTCATGTGCCACTCTGACTCACCACTCTTTTTCAGATTGATACTATAAAAACTATTTTATACTGTTTTATCAAAAAATAACTTGTGATTACTTAGGTGTCCTTTTAGAAAAGCGTTATAGCACAATGCTTTGTATGGTACGAAGGTTAGCATTTTGGGAACATTTTGTCAACAGTCAGTGTAATGACTTTTTCAATGCAGTTGGGGATGTTTTGTTTCATTTCTAAATCTGTTTTGTTACGGTAAGTCCTTTGCTTTTCAACCTGCTTTGAACTGGCTTTTTATGGTTGAAAGCTGTCTTCCTAACTCAAACTAAATGGTGAACATTATGAGCAATATTAACTTATTTACCGACACCTGCAGATTTGTGTCTTGTTTTGCTTCACAAATGTCTTCATTCTATAGCTGCTCGTGCCATTCTAGATTTAAGAAAATGAATAAACGATACATTAAGCTGTCATCATTAGTGCTATCCAATGATGCAATATAACTATAAGCAACTATAGTAACTATAAACAGCAATAACAATTGCTTTGGCAGTAATGCTGTCTCATTAAATGTCTTATGTTGAATTAGTTTATTTCCATTTATATAATTTCTCAAATAATAACACACTTATTCTTTGCCCACAGTGTACACTGCTGATGTCTACGTTTCCATGATGTGGTATTCTGTTCTGTAAATAAAAACATTTGAGCCTAAATATCCAATTCTTTCAAGTTGCCTGACTGATTTCAGAATTTACACTCAATGTTAATGAAACCGGGTTGAATCAGGTGGAATAACTCGATAGACTTTATTTTTAATATTGGAAAAAGCACTTCGCCCTTAAGACTGGAGCTGTGTTAGGGGAGGGATAAATTGACCCAGTATTTAGCCAAAAATATGTGAACAGCAGAACAGAATATTAACCCTGACAATACACCATGGGTGCATTTTCAACTTATTACACTATTAAATAGCCTACACTGTAGGCCTATATGTAAGTGTTACCTTCTTACACTCTGTTTCTATATTCAAAAGGGTATTGTATTGTCAAAATAATAATTAAAACACGATAATAAATTCTATTAACAGCATTTTTCAGTATTTATTTAAACTGTCAATTCAAATATTCTTTCTGAAAATGAATTTGTTCCATGTGGAAATTAACAGGGCAATTTGTATTTATTATACCAGCCAATTATAAGTCTACAGTTAATGTAGCCTATTATTATTACTGTGCGAAGCTGTTTATTCCTTGGTCTGATTTATGGCTCCAAAACGTTTGCAGGTTGTGTTGTATAGGCCTAGGCCTACTCCCTCACAGATAATAGAATGCAGTAAAACAGATGATTAATTATTATTATTATTTGGCGCAAATATGAGTCTTAACAACGACTCCGAGAGCCTTTTGTCTGCGAAGAAGTGGGTTAGTTTCCATACATTTTTTTGAGAAGTGGCTCTTTTGACGCAAGGGGTCACTGTTTAAGCAAACACATTAGGCCTACTATTGCTGTCGTACTCTGCTCACAAACTCCAAGAAACAAACAACCAGATTAACATACTAACATTTTAAGCCTATAGGCCAGGGGGCTTAATGTGTGATACTCATAGCAAACTGTTGGTATACCCCAAACCTATTCAACTAGATTTAAAAAAAAACAAAAAACGTAACTCTATAGAAATATACCCACAAATATGACATTGTTTTCTGGCACCTCCTATTGGCCAGGCGTTTGCTCCATCTTGTTGTTCCTACAGCGCGTGCTACCCTTCCATGGTGCTACCCGGGGAGTTGTGCCTCAGGCTACAGTACAGGTAAAATGTAACTTCATTTAGGATTCAAAGTAAATTAAAGGGATTTATTTTCGATTGCAAGTTTTGGGGGGATTGTTTCCTGTATTTTGTTAACTGTTGTTGCTTTCCCAAATAATGAGCTCACGTACCGTCAACAGTCGATACCACAATACCGGTTAATCACAAGGCTAGTTTAGCTAACATTACATTACATTGCATTTAGCTGACGCTTTTATCCAAAGCGACTTACAATAAGTACATTCGACCAGGAAGATACAACCTTGAAGAAAACAGAATCATATAAGTAGGCCTACATCAGGTTTCATAGAGCCACACATTTCAAGTGCTACTCAACTGGCTATAGATAAGCCAGTCCTTTATTAGTATATAAGTGCTCTGTTAACAGTTCTTTGTTAGTAATTCTTTCGCTCGAAGTGGAGTCGAAAGAGATGAGTTTTCAGTCTGCGCCGGAAGATGTGCAAGCTATCTGCTGTCCTGATTTAAATGGGGAGCTCATTCCACCATTTTGGAGCCAGGATAGCAAACCCACGCCACGTGTTTTTGCTGATGGGAACTTGGGTCCCCCTCGCAGCGAGGGTGCAGCGAGCCGTTTGGCTGATGCAGAGCGAAGGGCTAACGCGGTGCCCGGCATATCACTTTTTTATGTGAGTCAGCGTGGAGAACAGTCTCCTCCTAAAAAAAGACAGAGTTTATTGGCTTCCTCAATAGTTTCCCCACGCCACACATGCCAGGAAAGTAGCCTGACACTGAATCCTGTGTGTATACAGGTGCTGCTAGCATATAGGGAAACTAGTGTGTAGGCTACCAAACAAAAATGCTAAAAAAAATTCATGGTGATATTTAAGCTCCTTAATAACTCTTTAATGGGTTTGTTTCTTTTTGTTTGATCCCCCTGGCTCTTTTTGGATGTGTTATTTATGTTTCTTGTCTTTAATGTATGTGTCTTTGATATCTTGCTATTTGTAAATTATTCAAACACTAATCATACATTTTATATATATGCATGTTTTTTTTTAATAGCATCATAAACAATATCCACAAGTGAAAAAAGTATTAAAGATAAGTTAACAATTTGCAGTTATTAGTTTAAATGTATTTTCTGAGATGTTTTTTTCCTGCCAGGAGAAGAAATCAAGCATGGTTGCTTGCTAATATATTTAACATCAACTCAGAATCCAAATTATTTAAAGTGTTTGATTAATTCCTCCCTACTTTTTGTAAATTAACAAACTAAGTGAAGTTTCCCTTCATAGTGTTTTATGCCTATCAATGCCCTGGGAGAACTTGCCAGCTGAAAGATATAAATTATTCATGTTATTAATGTCCATGCAGAAAATAATTTTAAAAAATGTCCTTCCTAAAAGCCCAACTTAAATCTTTCCACTTGTTTTACCAATAGGAGGATTCATCTTCTGGAGAACATCATTTTCCTATAGATGTTAAAAAAACATATTTCTTGTAGTTGTTTTCTTTCATTCTTTGCACTAACACCAAACCCTCCGACTAATTCACAGGTGACGTGATGCCTCAGAATGGTACAAAATATGAAAGAAGAAGAGGAGAGACGCGTCACTACCCCTGTAAAGTCGGAGATCAGGTTCCCGTCACAGGTTTGGTAAATGGAGCTGTCACTCTCAATGGCTGCCCAGCTGCTTCCACTAGAGAAAGTAAGAGTACACCAGTCTGCACACGGGACGATATCAAACCACAATGCATGGTCAATGGTTATATTGACCATGGGGACAAGGGCCAGCGCACAAAAGGCACGCCCCGAGGGACCCTGGGAAAACATGAAAGCACAATTTCAGCTGCCCCTGATGCTTCAGCAGCTGTAAGGGTCCGCAGAGCAAGGCCTCCAGGTGGTCCGTCAGTGAATGGGACCCCCAGTCTAGACTCTGTTGCTCCTCTCTGTAATTCTCAACAAATGGCACCACAACCCAACCTGTCAGCAAAGAAACGAAGATGGAGGAAATTCAGACAAAAGAAGAGGTAGGTCAACTACCTTGTAACATCTTTGAAAGAATCACTGGGATAAAACCGTGAATCTTTATTTTATTAATTTGGTGTCATGGGTACATTTCTGGTGGACAAAAAGTTAAAACTACAACTTAACACAGCTTCCATTGACAGTGACAAATAATACATTTAGTAAATATTTGTTCCATTTGAAAGGTTTTTAGTTCTCACACACAATGCAACTCAATAGAACCTCACTCCTTCATATAGTACAACATGTATTGTAGGTACCATTTTAAAAAGAATGTAAAAACTGTACATATGTTGGCCACATAGTAACTTTTTCTTGTCAATGGAAAAGGCGCTAATCTTTTTTTATCAAACTCATGGCAAGAATGATAATGATATTACCATAATTCTAAACTACTATTGCATTTGCTTCCATTAATGAGACTCACCCACAACAGTCAGATAATACCAAAATTCAATGGCCAATTTCCCTTGTTTTTTCAAAAGAATAAATGTGCCTGATTGTTGAATACAAAGGTAATATGAGACCTATCAATCTGCCGACTTTTATAGAAACATCCATCCACAAGCGTTGCCCCCACAAGAGGAGGAAGACTGGGAAAGTCAGATCAAAGAGGTCACACTGACTGGCTGGGACAACATGTGTTTTGGCTTCATGCCCTACGGTAAAGAAATGGTTAAATATCCACATACAGCACTGTAGTCATAGTATATGCTGATGTCTCCCGAAATATCTGAATACATTCTTATTAGGATAATTACAGTAGTATCGTTACCATAGTGTTGAAACTGAACATGAATATAACCAATTTTCGATTATTTTCAAGGTTCATCTAACAACAAGCTATTTCCAATGAGGCTAATCTCAAGTCTAAAGCTGTTATGACCCAGGTCAGGTGAAGTACAAATGTCTAACTGGTATTCTGTGCCTCCTTCAGGTCCACAAGATGTGATCCATTATGATTTACGGAAGTTGACAATTAAGCAAACGGACCCAGTGGACCTGCCGGTGACAGCCAAGTACAGCCCGGCCGAGCTCCACCGACAGCCCGTCAAATGGTGGAGCTTGAAGGTTCCCACTGAGGCCGGCCAGTTTGCAGATGCTAATGCAGATGCTGATGCTGAGTAAGCCAGATGTTTGCTGTAATGTTAGATTAATTTGTAATTCTATGTTCATGTACCAAAAGTAACTGAGGCGTTCTGCCGTGAGTTAGCACTTGTTGTCATTGTACAGATTTGAGGGTCTTTGAGAGTACCCATGGGTGGGATATTTATTTTAGTGAGCATCAGTTTTATTTTCCCAATCTTAAACAATAGTGGAAGAAATACAATGTTATGTTATGCTACAAAATCAAACAGATTAATGCTATCTGATTTCAAAGATTGAAGTTTGGACCTAAGGTACGCAGTCAGGTCATAGTTATTTTTTTTAAATTAGTTAGGCTTCTTTGAGTTTAGGGATTCATTTGAGATAAACCAACATACTATCCTGTTTGTACCGCTTCTGTGATCGTTGTTACAGAAACTAGTCCAAACTGAGAACACTGAGTTGATGTGAAGTTGCTCTCTGGGATATCAATTCTATAGTTTTATGAATTGCAAGTTCAAGTACATAAAGGTACAATTTTAATTTAAGTACTAAACCTAAGCAAGAAATGACAGTAGCTTATGTTACAAGAAACACAACATTGTTCTTTAAGACTTTCATTTGCACAATAACAATAAATAAAATGTTCTTCTACCTTCTGGTACCGTATCCCTGCGTGTTTATCTCTGCTCTGTTGTCAAAATGAGGTTTATTTTGTAGCCTGGGCTTTCCAGGAACAGTTGGGCCTCTGCTCAGATCTCTCACTATTTTAACACATAAAGCTCATGTCTACAGTATGTCATGTTGACTTTTTTAAATCATACCGGTATCATTTCATGGAGCTTTCAGAAGTGACGACGGCTTTTCGCCACTAGATGGTAGAGTTGGTAACACAATTGTGATTTCTTTAAGTTATTCCACACACCTTTGGGAGTTCAGTGGGTTCATTCCCAAGGACTTGCTAGGCACAAGCACTTACTTGCACACTGTTCAAACCCCACATACCCCTGGCGTTTAATTCAGAATGCAACTCAAGATGTTAAATGCTACTAAGCTGGTAAATGTAATCTTATAACTCTAAATCATTCATAACTGCAAACACTTTGTAATAATAGATTGAGGTCATAATATCTGATGAAATCCAGTGTCATGCAATCTGATGAGACTTTGTAGTTGAATTCTAAGCAGAGTTCTTGGTGTATACACTATTAGATTATTCTCTATCAAGGAGATGAAGTAGCTTTTGTTATTCACCAGCCAGCTGAGTACATTTCATTGTTGATCAAAGGGGAAAATATGAGTGGAAGTGTGGTGAGGGTGATGATAGAGGGAGATGTCGTTCCGTTCTGGTGTTTGCAGACACTTAAGATAGAGTGAATGGTTCCTGTTTAAATACTCGTCATACTGTAGGAGTTTCAGACATTGTGTTAGACGCATCCCAAAATGAAGGGTGTCCGAGGTTAACAGTTTCCTAAATGCTTGAAAGGATGATTTTACAATGTGAATTTTAATCTGTTCGTCGTTGACTGTTTTAAAGCGTGAGTTTCCAGGAAGACAACCCCACATTGGATGTCATTGTTTACCCGACCAATGATCATTCGTTGCAAACTTGGCTGGATAAGTGAAAATCCCCTCCAAAGCACAATTCACATATAGCTATTTGTTTGATCTTGGAATGTTTGATGAATATTTGTGAACGAGAAGAAGTCTCTCCTAAGCCCAGAAACCATAAACCCAGGAATCTATTCTGCCATGTCATCGTGAGATTAAGTTGATGCTTCTTTGGCAGGAATTGTAACATTACTGTTTTCACATCCATGTGTCCTGTTTATCAAGTGTAAATGCTTTTCACTAAACTTAATCCCCGTTTCCTCATTTAAAGTCGCCCTCGATACACAGAATCGGTTTATACAACCCGTCTGTTTTTCATTGTTATTTGCGCCCTCAAAAAACTCTAAGCGTTGCGAGATGCTGCTTCACATTGTCAAACCTTGACTAAAACTGCATCGTTTTCTTTTCTGAGTTTTTTCTTTAGGGTGGATTTCCCCTTTACTGCTGCAGTAGCTGTAATAATCTTTCATTATACATTTGTGGGGGTGGTATCAGAGTTCAATTAAGGAATACCTTGTCTCATACATGTTTTAATCTGCTAAGTGATAAATGCCTCTTCATGTCTCAATGGACCCTTTTTCCACTTCTTGCCTGCGTTTGGAGAAATAAGCAGACTGCTGGCCCTCCTACGTCCCAACTGCAGTTATTGTATGGGTCAAGTTCAGCTCATTGCTTATCGCTCATGTTTTCACTGAAATGTAGTACACTATAAGTTATTGTCGTCCACTGACCAACCATTTTATCTAGTTTTATCGATAGCCAGGTAGTCTTTTATAGTAGGGGCATTTCCCAGTGCTGCGATTACTTTGGAAAACCAGCACCAGGCCTTTTTAGTGCCACATTTCTCCGATGTGAATCACCTCCAGTTATTTCATCTGGTTCTACTGTGGTCATTTAGCATTCAACGTCTATCTTGCTTGATCTGGCAACATAATGGTTTGTTAGGCTGGTACAGGACGAGACCTCGCAGCAGACAGGAGGGAGGACTGTGGTCAGTTTAACTTCCTACAGCTGACCAAAGCAAATACATTGTGGTAGTGGATAGACATTTTTCATCATCAATCATCATATTCTAAAAGAGCGGTCTTAAATCGCTAATCCTTCCTGTGATTATATGTGGAAGCAGCAGCAACATTCCCATCCTAGATGTTGGTATTCAACTTAAATTGTTCAAATGTACTGTGTATCTTGTTATTGTTAAACAATGCAAGATAATAAACGAGAATTAATGGATCTTACCAACAAGTCGCCACAACTGTGCACTATGTAATTATTGATTCAGAACAATGAACATAACCACCGTATATTATTAAGTCAATCTGTCGAGGCCATTATTCACACTAGATCTATATTTATCCGCAGCTTGAAAAAGTCCTCAACAAACGTAATAGTATCTCTTGTGAGAGTAATGTTAGCTAAAGTACCCAGCTGTTTAAGAAAATCACTAACCCCTTTTTCATCTAATATAATCTTAAATACATAACACAAGTGTCACAAATATATAAATGTAAAATAGAATATAATCCTTTATTGTTATTATAAAGGAGATGACTAGAGATACTCCTTTTTCTAAGGTGCCATAAAAAAACAACGAGACGTACAACATTCAGGAGGAGACAACATACAAACAACATGCATTCATAGTTCAATATTCAGGAAGAGTTAAAGTGCAGGAATATATCGGTTTAAGTAAAATAAATATGTTTTATGTAAAAGATATATATATATATTGTGTCAGTGCATGCTGGGGTTTAGTGCAATTATTGCTCTAACTTTACAAGTAGGAATTCAAAAGTTATCATATATGAGCCTGGGTATTCTTGTTAACATTAGCCTGCATGGGGTCTATGGGGGAATGTAACCAAATACTGAACGTATGGAAGCCTATTTGATAATAATTTGCATCAGTCTTTTGGACAAAAAGAGCCTAATTGAGGAAGGATGCAATAAGGTCTCGATTGGGGGAAATCCATTAAAAAAAGTCCTCTGTTACTTTACATTCCTTCATACAAAAGCAAGTACAAGATGTTTCATCAATAGGACTCCCCACTGTCCCCCTTTAAATGACCTCCTGCAGTGCGTGATAAATTGTACATCCAGTTCAGACCGGCTCTGTTTCTCCTCTGACTCACCTCCAGTCATGGCTTTTTTCCTCTCTTTTAGTGTGTCTATTTGTTTCCTGTGCATTATTTTTGGATTGATCTTATACCAGAATGTTGAAAAGTCCAGGAAGAAGCGTGTGGTTAGCTAACCACAGCCAAAGCTCACTTGTACAAAAACATAAATTGTCTGATTTGGGGGTAAGGAATTCTGGTAAATTGGAATCATTATGTCCACTGGTGAAAAACATTGAAATCAACAATGCCCTTTTGGAAAATGTGCCGCAACCGTGCTTGATACATGCCAGTGTTATTTAATTTGGAATTTCTTTCTTCAGACATTTGGCGGGATATTTTTAATGAGTCCTTGGCACTTCTCTGAACTTTCTGGAAATGGTGGATAGTATTTAAATGTTTGTTTTTAGGCTGTGAGGATGTGAACACATTTATTTGCCCAGGGTTCTTCCATTTGTATTGCTCCCAAAGAAGAAGCTTCGTGGTTTCCTGTCATTGTGACTCGACCCAGTCGGACGACAGCCAGTGTGCAGGGATCTGGGTGACAGACCATAGAGTAAGAAATGCTCTTAGACTGAAGAAATATCTGGCAGCTGTAACTGTATCAGCAGCCTGTTGACCAAGAACACTATTTCTTAACTTTGTAATGAAATAAATAAGGGTGCTGCAATGCTCCTGACGGTTCTTCCAAGTAGGTTAGCTTTTTGCACTAAATCATGTGCGAGTCCAACCCTGGCCCAGATTATTGGTATTTATATTTCAAAACATGGGGCACTGTAATTAAGATTTAGGATATTTATGAAAGTTCTAGAAGAAACCATTGCCACATCTGCTGAACAGAGGAATGGCAACAGATTTAGCTGAGTCAGAGTGATTGGAATCAAAGGGCGTTTGCCGGGATTAAATCTTCACCATATGGTGAAACACTGAGCAAGTGCTAAGAGCCTGGCTCTGGTAAAAGCACTTCCTGAGTGTCACTGCAATACTATTCGGACATTCTTGTTGTAACATGATGGTTTTTATTAGGGTGCAGTTGAGGAAATACATATATTTTTAAACATATTCCACCTGACTTGAATCATAGCAACCAATTCAGTTATGCTCAATCAAGTCAAGTTTGTAAATGCTCCAAACAGTCTCCACTAATACAAAGTAAGAAGGAAAGATTGTGCCATCTTTGAAGGTTTAACATCCTGTTATCAAATACTTTTTAACCTCAAATTAGGAAGATTTTTCTTTTTCAGGTTTATGGGTTACAGTTAGTTAAGAAATTGTCAGTGTGTATATATATTCACTCACCTTACACTTTATCTTTATAGGGCTGATACAAAAAAACACAAGGTACTACTTTTGCTAGAACAAAACATATACTCACATTTAAATAGTAGGAAGGCAAAACCTAAATGATTCCTTTATTTTCAAAATTGTTGCAGAATAGATTTCTGTGGATGAACTAACTTGATCAATTGCCTATACATTACACTCCTACTATAACGCAGTTGTTGAGCTACAATGAAATCACACATTCATGAATATGCTGTACTTTAAGGGTTATTTGTCTCTGTGCAGGCATCATTTAGCGCTTGCAGTAGCGTGCCAGGCCCAGACAGAGGCATTGTTTATCAGCCGTGCAGCTCCTGACCCTCCGGCCTGTTGGGATGCTCAGCTCGTAGCTCGGCTGGCTGCTAGTTGCCGGCCTGTGTCGACCTGCTTGTCTGGCTGCTCTGCCTCCTACTCGCCTGCCTTCATCCGCCTGTCTACCTGTTTGGTATCCTCTTACTAACAGCCTCTCTGTCTTCTTCTCAAACTACACACCTGGGTTTCTCAGTGCTGCCTTTCCGGACGACTCAGTTGAATTTTTCTTTCCTTCTGCCTGTCAGTCTTGCTGCAATAGCTGTCGAGCTGTCGGTCTTTCCTCCTCTCTGGTCGTCTTTTTG